CGAACGCGCTATTGTCCTTTCCGGAGAGTAACGCGTTCACCACCACCATGCGGGTCACTCGTTTCGCTCGTCTCTCAGCTAGTTCTATCGAACTCTGCCATCAGCAGCATCATTGAAGTAATAGATAGTATTTCGGGGTTCGAGACAGGGATTGCGGAGCGAAAAACATTGGTATAAACCTTTCAATTCCATATCACGGCGGAGGTAAGGATAGTGCCATCTTTGTGCATCAAGAAGATAGCAGAGCGTTACAGTAGCAAAAGTTTCATGTAAGTCCTCCTGCAAAGATTTTGTAAAGCTGACATATATTGTCAGCCATGTTATGTGTGTTGTAGTAAGACCAAGCTTCAGTGTCCGTTTGAGTAGCTCCTTAATGATAATGGAGTCAAGGTATGGATTTCTTGTACGATGAACTGAGGCGAGCTCCACAAAGTTTCAAGTCTTTCCATAAGTAGCGTGTAGTCCTCCGTCGGATGTCCGTTTATCCACTAGTCATGTGGGGAAAGGAATCAAATGGTTCTAATACACGACTGTTTCATTTTCCTTGGACGATGACAGAAGTTCTTTCCCAGCTTATTTCTGAATCGAATCTTTTCACGGAGAAGTCTGTGGTCGGATGCAGTTGAAAATCGAAGTATCATTGAGGTTTCAAAGAGGCACAAATTTTTGTTCGTAAGAATGCGATCGAGGCGGTGTGGCGCAGTGGTTGGAGGCGCCATTGTGACACACACATGCAATAGACCCCTCGCCCATGTTCCACCAAGCCTACCACCCCTCCAAAGCCGGCAATTTGGTACCAGAACACCGCAAGTCATTGCAAAGACTAGGCATACATTCTATATCTCCAATGATACTTAAGCAAGTTGAATGCATAGAGGACCCTCAGAGATTGATCAACGCCGAGAGCTTTAACCTTTTATAAGAATGTGATCGGTATCCGCACGAGTCCTGCCTTTAAAATACTGTCTACCGGCTATTTTTCCTCTTCTCGAAAAAGGAATTCCCAGGGGAGAGCCGTGTAGCGGACAAGAGTCTTACGGAGCGGCTTCCATTCTCAATTCGTGTTCTACTTCCGAATTTTCCTAACCTGCATTCATTTCCGTTAACCATTTCTTATCTGGCATTGAAGTTTTCTGCAAGAAATTTATTGAAGAACTTCTTGTTGCAGATTGATGTGCCAGCTGGCTATAGAAAGCACCCAGTTCGCTCTCATTATCTGTACAAGGTCGTGAGTAACAGCTGATGATACGGACCTACTCCTGAGGCCCAAGTTGGACACAAAAGGTAGCCAAGTGCTGTGACAAGATTTATTATGAGGTAACTAGACAGAAATAGTTGGGTGTTCGACAAACGTCTTCGACATCTGTTGATGTAAATTCTTCTCTACGAATGAAAAAGGTTCCGTAATCGAATTGGCACATATTGGTTTTTGTGGTTTGAGTTTCTTGTAGGGCTATCACATGGAATTTGATGCGAGTCTCAAGAAGAAACTGAATTATGGCGTCTGAAGAGACTGTTCAGACATCATAGGTGCACTGTAAGGAACACTCTCCATTTAGTGTTGTGGGCGTGCTCTTTTTGCCCGTTTCCAATGACGTCTTGTGCAAATGGTGATTTCAAATGGTGCAAGTGACCTTTCACCGGTTCTCTCACTGTCCTACTTCGTAGACGGGAGCGCCCAGTGTGCGGCGTATTGAGACGGAAGATTTGCTGGTTTAGCCAGTGTGATTCTTCGGAACGCCGAGATCAACCTGGCGTAAGCCATTCTCAGGTCGTCACCACCCAGCACAGTCGCCATTCTTGTAGTTCAGAGTGAGATTTGCACCATGCGACTAGTTTGGTACTAGAGCGGTGGTGATTCCTGGTACTGATTTACTCTTAGCTGGTTTCCGGATGGAAACGTCGGGGCTTCTTTTCAGATTGGAGAGGCCCTATTGGGAAGGTGAACCCTTGCTGTTCATCGCATTTCGACACCCAGAAAGCATTGTCCGCGGTGAGGCGATAAACCGGGTGAAGTGTGAGCTTGAACTACCGCATAAAAGATAGGCTCTGCGGTTTCTTAATCCTTCTTTCTTCGTCAATGAAAATATTCCTATGAAACAACAAAATTCTTGTGTGTAGCTATTTAGTAGCATCTCTGGCTGCTTTCTCTAGAGGACGTTCCTTACACAAAGCTCTAAGTGAGAAGGATATAACCCCTTTCGAGACTTAAACAGTCTTTGTAACCATGTGGATGCTATCCATTATTTCGAACCAAAGGTTTTTTTATATCTTTATTTTTTTACTTCGTCCTATGGTTTGTCGTTTCTGACGGATATGATTCAAATGAGGAGTCTAAATACGATAGAAAGCAAGGGATAAGGCGAAAATGTTAAGGTTGTGCACGTCTGTTTTTTACAACAGCAATGCTATTCTGGCCTTTTATTGCACATGTACCACTTATTTCAATAAGTTCCGTAAAGGCGGTTGAATCTGTAACGCCGTTGGGGGTAGGTTTTTCAGAAGTATTAATGCAATCTTCGAATCGCATCCACAGCGGCTCGAATCTGCATGCTTTCGTCCGTTCGCTGCTGTTTTCCACTTTAGGCTAATTTTTCGATCTGTCGAGTATCCTGAAATGCATAAGTTGTACTCTTAAGCGTTCGAGGCATAAATGAAACCAGTGAAGCAGAAAAAAAGATTTTGAAGGATGCACTTGACTGGACAAGTATTCGTAGGCTAAACCCTGTGACGATGTTCCGATGCAATGTTGCAGTGTAACACAGTCGCTAATTCCCTCAATGGTTGCTTGTTACTTGTACGCTATATACTGCACGAAAATCTTGATTGCTATTTTTATACCGTGCTTCTAAAACTTTGATAGTTAAACCTTCATTCATAACAGATGAATTTAGAACATTTTCAATGAAAGTTGGAGTCATACATGCGAAATAGAGATGTTCTACAGACGGCCCTGAAAAACTATAAAAGTAGTGTTTCTAGGCAGATAGCGAGTGGTCTTTTTGTGCTGTTTTTTTCATAATGCTTTGTCAAAGATATGGAAAACCGCAAGAATGATTTCTATCCATTATTTTTGATGCTGTAGGAAGGCAGGTGGACGATAATGTCTGGGCGATTGAAGTGAAAACTGAAACCACTTTCTGTGGAACAGACCGGTCCTGTTCTTCTTTCAGATAATTTCTCGATTGCTTTTCAGAGGAAGCAGGTTACCCAGTTAAAATCCTAAAGCCATTACCTCACGCCTTTCGCAAAATTAGTCTCGGTGGCAAGTTCGGTGAGATATGTAGATTTGGAGTTCAAGTTTTGTAACTGCATTTTATTCAACCTTCAAGAGTTTTAGAATTCTCCGGGAATTTCAAACTCTTTCAAACACGGTCGTAAAGCAGTTAGAAAGACCGAGTGTATTCTATAATGTTGGACGAAGTATTATCATTAAAAGGACCTATTAAAAACAAAAATTTTTTTCTGATAGTTTTAAATCCTTCTTTAATTTGCAGTCTTTTTTTTGAGGGATAATTTGCAAAAAAAAGCTATAATCCAACCTTGTATTAATCAACATATACATTTATATATATATCCTTATGAACTGATCTTGTTGACATGATGTGATGTTGGTATAGTTGTCATTGTTGTTGTCGGTGTTGTTGTTGTCGGTGTTGTTGTCGTTGTTGTTGTTGGTCAATGGCCGACATTTCGGCGATTTCGCCTTCCTCTGAGCTCAGTGGAACTCACACTCGTAACAGCACGCTTTGAGTAGGGCGAAATCGCCGAAACGTCAGCCGCCAACCAACAACAACAACAACGACGGCGATAACTTATGCTAACCTCGCATCAGCTCAAGAAGATCAGTTCATAAGAACATGCAAATAAACATGTTGATCATCTATGAAGAAATTTCTAGAAAGTTGGTCTTCTGAGTTATTAAGAGATGTGCCAACTTGCATTAATCATTACAATTCAGGTGAAGGATTTAGCGAAAATTGTGCTGTTGCAACTTTATTTTAGCGCACCTCACTGAAAGATCCGGAAAGATCTGATGAGATTGAAAAACAACCGTAAGGAAGAAGCCTTTTACCGAAGAAATATTAGTCCTCACGGCCTGCTACTGTTGTTACAATGAACTCAGACAGCAATCACCCCGTTGTTTCCACTTACATTCGTGATTTTCAATGTGAGTCTTTTCATATGTTTTAGAGTTCAATTTTGGTGTCATCCTTCGCGATGGCGTCTAGAGACTTTAAATATAACTGACGCTGCTATAACATAAAATCAGTGTTCGTTGTTTACTTAACACGACATACAATGAACCTTAGAATCATACGTGATCGTAATCGTTGACGTACTCTAAGACTATTATTTCATTAACTGAGCAATCCTTTATTCTAAAGAATTAATGCTGTCTGCGGACAACATCATTTCACAGAACCCGCAAGCGCGACAATCCGTTGTCGATAAAAACATAAAATTAAATAAGAATTATCAGGACATCATCCAGAGCTGCCGAAGAAGAATTGTAGTGATAACCGTATGATATGTTCGAGAAAGGAACTCATTAATGCTTTCTTCAGAACGTTTCCTAATAAAATATGTGTAATAAGTCGGTATATACAAGACACTGAGAAACAGGAGGACAAAGAAAGTTAGGGTAAGCATATGTAGAAAAGTGATTTCAATGACTATGTGAATTACTTAGCATCAAATTAAAAAAAGAGTGGAAGTGGTTGGTGAGAATTTAACAATAATCGACGAGATCAGATTTTTTCTTTTTTGATGACAAATCGAAACTTTTCCGATTATTATTACTTGAATACGTGGCGAGCCAGACGACAACCAGAAGACGGTTCCAAGCAGGTGATGCTACTAAGCCGAAATAGGCTGCCGTGTTTGGAAAGCAAGCGGCAGTGCTAAAGGCTGAGCGCAATACATGATACATTTGACCTAGTACTAATAAAAATAACATATGATTGATGACAGTCTCAGTAGCACACGTCATGGTACTTCTAGACACGATTGCAGGCCCGCGTGAAGCACGGTTGTTTTTCGTACTCATTGCCGCCGCACTGGCCACTCCCATAACACTTTCTGACCCTCTTCCGCGTTCCTTCACCACAAGTTTCACTGCACGTCGACCAGTATCCCCAGCCTGTAATATAAACTTTTCAATCCTCGAGAATTTCCTATATTATTTCTGTCAAGCTCAGGTTAACTTGTGCCGATACAAATTCTCAGCCAGTTTTCAAAAAACTGTTGATGACAACTCGGCAGTTAAAGCACTTGATAAACCGAGTTTTTGAATAAAACAAAAAACACTAAAACGACATTTTTTAGAAATTTTCAAGAGAACTCTAACAGAGGTGAGCATCAAGGATGCATTCAGGAAAGTCAGCGTTTCTTGTTTAAAGCTATCTCGCTTCCTGGATCGTTTTGCTGCTCAAGAAATGATATTTGCCAAGCAGAAAAGTAGAGTCACTTGTGATCTTCAAAAAATTAGAATTCCATTATTTTGTTTCAACTAAATTGCCGAATGTCTGCTAAATCTAACATGTAACCACGGAAATTCATTTACTATAGTGCATAGGATGTTGAAGTAGTGAGTGTTTCTAAGATCAACAGATCTCAACTCATATTGGATTTTACCAGTTACAATAAAAACCATTAGCTCCTAAGCCCGATGTCGAAAAAAAAAGTTTTCTTATTCTACTAAGACAAAACTCTAAACTTCTGGAGCACACAAAAATCATTTTTTGAGCTGCCTCAAAGTTCGCAATTCAGGTACAAAAGCAATTGTACAAGTCGCAACTTGTCCAACAAGGCAGGTGATGTTCCTTAATACATCGTTTGTGTTCCTTGGCGCTGAACTCGGGTTGAAACTTTGGAAACCCTACATTTTGCTTTCAATTTTCGAAAATTTCGGCAATAAATATTCATGGGGTTGAAAGAGTACCTTATAAATACTATGTACGCAATTAAGAAGCCAGATCAAAGTCAGGTCCATAACTCAGTAGAGTTCGTACATCCTATACTACAGTGGTCGGAAAATTATCGTCGGTTGTCGAAAAACCAGTTTCGTGCGCTACGTGGTAATGGCGTTTGTATCAATTTAAAGTCAGCTACGAGGTGAAATATGCTTGTTTAAAGTCGGAAGACTAGAACAGTTTTGGACACGTATGCATCGAAACCAATGATCAAATGTGTTAGAAAGTCAATTTTTGCTAAAAATAAACCCACAATGGGCAACTTAAACATATTAGTATTACTCAACTCCCCAAGCAGCATTGCGGCTCTCGCACTCGCGATCATTGCAAATAGCCGATTCTTTGTAGTTGCCAGGACAACTACCCGACCGGCAATAACGAGTACGCCGTTTTACCCCAGCACCACATGTCGCAGAACACTGACTCCATGTCGACCACGTTGCCCATTCTCTTGCTCGCGGTTCGCACTGATGTTCGTTGCAGAAGGATTGATCGCTATTTGAGCCGTAGCAACCAGAACCAATGCAAGTTCTGCAGTAACAACCGTTATAAAAAAGTTTTTAGTTTCGTTAAAAGATCGTATTACTACAAACCTGCTTCTTGACCGGATTCCTTTGCCGCATAATCGGCTGCAATCCGACCATTCATTCCACTGAGTCCATCGCCCGCGTTGTGACTCGCACACGCCCATGTTACAGGACCGCCTTTCATGAGCAAATCCATCACATGGCTCCTGAAGTACATAATCAATTTTCTCATTAAGGCAAGTCAAGCTTTGATATGTACCCTGTGACATCCACGCTGACGAATCATGGTGCCTGGTCCGCAAGACGTCGAACACGTGCTCCACTCGGACCACGATGCCCAAACACCTATTCCGCTGCACGGACCAGCATTGCAAGCTCGAACCTCAATGTTCGTATCTGAAAACTAACACATTTTTTATGGTCGACTGATAGTATCAAAATAAACAGTAATCTTTAAAATTGGCAGAGAAGTAGGTGACAAAATAAATATTCTCATACCTTAGAGTAAAGCGTACCGTTCGTTTAAAGGATTTGTTAGATGCTACATAATTTGTAAGTGATAGAAATAATTAATTTGTCAGAAAGTGTTGTGAGAGCAAAAGGCTTTACGCTTTTGCAGTTAGTTAAATAAGTAAAGCACCTCAATGAAGTACTCAACCAATGGCATATCTTGCAACTCATTTGGCTCACCAGGGCAGTCGAAGGCCAGTGAAAGTTGTGCGGTGACACATTTTCTATATCTGGCTTGAGATCCTCGTCCGCAAGAGACAGAGCAATGGTTCCACTCAGTCCAGGTGGTCCAGTGCGATGAGCCGACGGCACTTATCACGGGGCACACAGCGGTCATGCAGTGCTCAGTTTCTGTTTCTGTGCCATCGCAACGTCCCTTTATAGAACAAGTGCGCGACCTAAAATTTTTACAACGGAATCTTTCTGCTTTCCTAAGTTTGATTGAGATCTCAATAATGCTAAAATCGATTATTAATCGAAGAATAACGAAATATGTGTCAGTAAGAGATCCATACCGCTTTCTATACCCACTGCCACACGTCACTGTGCACGCAGTCCAAAGACTCCAATGTCCCCACTCTCCCTTCCAAATCGCCATATTTTCGCGCGGGCAAACTTCAGTCGGGCAAGTTACATCGCGGCTGATCAAGGCATTATTGGAACAGGAAAGCGGCTAAAATGAATGCTGAAAAGTAATCCAGACCTCTATTCGCTGCAAATTATGAAACTGTTACTGGTGCTGTTAACACACCAAACATTCTCCTTCTAAGCAGTAGCGATCGTAACCACAATGTGTTCCATCTGGCAAATTGTCACCGAAGAATCGGTAGTTTCTTTGTCCACCAAGCCGAGTCGCCACGTCGCAGAACACCTGCGAAAAAACAAAATTCCACATATTTCAAAAAGTGTAATTGTGTCACCCTCTCATGCAAATTTTCATTGTTGACCATTCTGTCAGATTAATACCGTGAAGCGCTAAGAACATATTACACACATTGTAAATTTCAAGGCTTAAAATGAACCATAGTAGTGTGCCGTTGAAAACGTTTTTAACCTTTTCCTCTGCACATATATTCGTTCAATTATTGGCACTACAAGGCTATCTGCTTTTATTAACGTAATATTGGACATACTTCGATTCCTATGAAGAATACATCCCTCGAGACTTCAATAAAAAATGGTGATTTAACGAAACTAGAACTATACATAAAGGAACATTACACTTTTATTAGGCTTGCTCTTTTTTAGGGTAGAGCATATTCATAAATCCGATCTGTATGAGAAGAATTTCATGGAGCTCTAAAGCTTTCGGCGTTGATCAATCCCTGAGGGATGCGCCGTGCATTCGCCTTCATTAAGTATCGTTGGAGGGAGGTAATTGAATGCATATCTGGCCTTTACAATGACTCGCGATTGCCTGCCCATCTATCGAGCCAGTGTTGCCATTCTGTCAGAGAATTCTGGTACCAATTTGCCAACCCCGGAGGTATGGAAGGCTTGGTGGGCCATGGGCACGAGGATCGTTTCACGTGTGTGTTACAGGGCGCCTCCGACCACTTCGCCACACCCGCCTAAAAATTTCATACGTGTTTAAAATAAACATGACACGTAATTTACTAAAACTAGTTCTAAGCAGCAATCAGCGACTACCAACAAAAATTTCTTTGCAACTTTAGAAAAGGGAGTTAGATGAAGTACCAGAAATCCTATAATAAATTTAGGAATGCACAGCGAGAAACAAAAACGAATAACACGCTGAAGAATTCCACCGCTATAAAGCATTCAAAAACTCAATTAAATTTTTGACAAGTTACCATAAGAGCTATGTTTTACCTTGCAGGCCCTTTGCGGAAAACGATTCAACTGACTGCCGCTACCAGTTAGATGCTTGTCGTTCTTCACTCGTTGATGCTCAGAACATTTCTCAGTGATATACTAGAAAAAAGATTTTTTATCGGGTAACCTTGCGATTGAATTTCAATAATTTCCACCTCATCAACGGTTTGTAACTGCTTAGGACAAGACTTGTTGCAAACAATAGCACGAACAGTCGATCCAAAACAGTCTTCACCACCATTGGCCGGGTATGGATTTGTACAAGTTCGCCGAGAAACTGCAAGTCCAATCCCGTCAACTATAGGATTACACTTGCACTGATTGCAGTTTGGCGTCGACCAAGCAGAGAATCCGCCGTCCACTTTCTGAAGGGCTTCATAAAAAATGTGAACCAAGTGCCCGCGATAAATGACGGCTTTTACCTAAGCAATTATTACGGATTTGTTCATTACGAACAAAAGATTGAACTGAGATAAAAATAAAGCGTGAATTTTGTGCTGTTTCAACTATTGTTTAGTCTATATATATTCTCTTCTCGCTCACCTTTGGAGAAACCAAAAGAGGTGTAGGAGTGAGGATAGATGGAAAATGTTTCATGCCAATAGCCGCTGTGCCAATTGAACCAAGGCTTCCGTCCCATGGCACACATCGTCCTAATTGGCACCATTTGTTGGGACCACAAAATGTTCCTGAGAAAAAACATTTTTAGCAAACGACGTGAAGAAATAAAACAAAGGCAAAAAAACAAATCTGACGATATATTATTTTATGCAACACTGTTGTGTGTTAAAAAAATTTATGGAATGACACCTGTTTCATGAAGAATCTTTCGAACCCCATGACATTTCTCCTTTACGTGGTATGTTACTAGTTCAGCAATAAGGTCCTTAGGGTCCCGAGAACCCGTCCTAGCGCGTCAACAGGTTGTCACCACAAGTAGTCATTGGCCTTGGTAGATTTACCACATTTCGCCAAGTTTTTTTCGAGGACGGCGGCGATTCCTTGCATTGATTTGCCTTTGGCTTCGCTTCCAGGTCGAAATAGAGGACTAATTCTCATCTTTGAAGACCCTCCTGAATTACTCCTTATCGCAAGATGACTACTGACCTTCCAGGGCTGGATGAGAAGTAATAATTCGACCGAACGTTGACTGACCACACCACATCATGTAGCAGATACCATCAAAGGCGTCCTGTCGAGGAGTAACCTGCAAGTTATTCAATGGTCATCCAATGTTTCGCTAATAATTTGAGTGGGGAATAGGCTCATTACAAAGAGCTCGTGGAATTTTCAATCAAAGGTATGCAATTTCGATCTCCTTATGAAGGGTTGTCCAAAAAACTTTACTTTCATTGACATTTCAAGAGAAAATTTGTATGCAAGCATTACTTGTTGGTAGCCAGGGCCATGCATAAGTTCACACTGAAGATTGGCATCATAAATCTGTCCAGGCTTAGTATTCGTCGGTATAGTTAATTTTGTCGGCATATTGGAAACTCGGAGACAGTTCCTGCCACGTGCGCTGAACCACTGATGTCAGAAGTAAGAATACGAAAATAAGATATCAAGAATGATTTATAAAGAGTTACTCAAGCCGTTGAAGAAACTGATGGTAGTCTCTAAGAGAACATGTGGACCATGTGACTTTGCCTGGACCGAGAGATGAGCTCATTATATGCTTCGACGGACAATAAGGTTCATCGTGTCGCATTCCAACACTGGAAATAGACTTAGTATGATTTGATCCACCACTAAAATTTCATCAGATTACCATACCTGTACGAAAACGAAGGGTGTCATTCCAGTAAACATTATTTACATCAGTGATAAAAAAGATAAAAGGATAAAGCTTTTGGCGTTGATGAAACCCTGAGGGATGCGCCATGCATTCGACTTCATTGAGCATCGTTGGAAGTGATTGAATGTATATCTGGCCTTTACAATGATACGAGGTGGTTTACCGATGTATCAAGCCAGTGCTGTTATTCTCCCAGACAAGTCTGGTGCCAATTTGCCAACCACGGAGAGATGGAAGGCTTGGTGGGATAGGCGCAGGGATCGGTTCCACGTGTGTGTTGAAGTGCGCCTCGGTCCACTGCGCCATACGTGCTTTTAACATTGATGAGTGTATGCAAGTGCACTAACAGTAATTTACTTTCGAATTCGGTCTGCTGTAATGAGACAGGCAAAAAGTTAGAGAATTATAGCTAGTGCTCTAACTAGAAAAAGTTAGAAAATAAGGCACCTTCGTATATGCTTCAGTTAAAAGACTCACAGTTAGTGAGTATTCTAAAATTCGTCTCAATAACCATAACAACATTTAATTTGTCGGTTGTCATAGAAAGAAAAATACTTGCGGATGTAAGAGGATAATAAGCGGAAAAAACGCTCTCGTAATGTTTTCCTTCTTCCCAAAAATGTTATCATTTGATATCAAACTTTTTAATGGCACAAATAACTAAGGGCAATGTGCTTAAATCTTCTTATCGGATGGTTACAATGGGGTTGTCCGTCCAATGTAACTGGTCAAAGTAATCCCATTTTCGATAGCTGTCTTTCCATACCAAACGTTTGCAATAGCTTTGATTTATTTATTGCTTACAAAACGATACAAGCCTTCTCCTCCAAATAAGTTCCATCGTTATCTTTATTTTAACTAAAGCAATGGTTTCTACCGTTCAACCCCAATTTCAGGGTATCTCGTTCTTAGAAATGGAACACCTGAGAAAAAATCGCAGCAATTTTTTTCACAAATTGTTTCGAAGAAGTGTTCTTTTAAGGAAGATAAATGCAACAAGTGAGATAAATCAGGAAAAGTTCGGAATCATAATCAGGAAACCTATGCTACTTTTATTCATGCGAACTTTTCTTCACATCCAAGTTATTTGTTTATAGCTAGTGTCTGGGTATGTACTACTTTAGCTTCCTAATAATTACAAAGACGGTCAGAACCGATTGTACATATCTACAGCCCTCACTCACCGACGGACGCTCACCGGTTAGTTGCGAATCTTGTTGCTTATTGAAACGTGATGAATAGGGGTCAAGTGCAGACCAAAAGAGCCTTAGCACTTGTCCTTTGGCACAGAAAAATTCAATAGACGACCACCATCTCTGCATTTACGTGGGTTGACATGTATGCATATCCGTACTACACATGCGTGATTGCGTAGTGTTCATTCCTCTGACTGTTGGGATTTCTCTTCTGGGTGCACTTTCGAGCGTATAGTGCTTAGTGTTTGGTCTACTTCGATCGCCTTCACTTACCCATCACCCAGTTCTCATTGATTGGCGGTTACACTTCACTCGACAAGAAGTCTTAGCTAAATAGTAGACCACAAAACTGGGAATAAATTAATTTTATGGCTTGGCTTTTTCAATTTTCCTTTTTTTCGGTGTTGCCGAGCCGCACTCCCTCTTATGCGAAATCAGGTTATGTGATTCCTTTATGTCTTCTGTTCTCGTACATCGGTAGACGTATAAAAAATATTTTTCATATACGCCTTATTTTTATGTTACTAATATACACAGAGATAAATGAAAGATTGGCTTCTATTATTTGGTTAGCATTACCTTGTCGTACGGCTTTTTTTGTAGAGATATTTTTGAAGAGAATAGAACAAACATGAATCTGTTCCGGATTCTGCTTTCAACAGAAATCCAGTGTTAACTCCAGAAATTAGCTGTTACTTGCTGACTTGTTGTTAACGGTTCACTGTGAAGAAAGCTGGGAAACTAGGAGTCAAAATGCCGCGCATATTTCGTCGCTTTTTGGTTTCGCGTTAGAAGCCCAGAATTTCGCTCGTGAATTGTGTTCGTAACATTTGCCTAGAGAGCGCAGATTTCATAAGATGTCGATCAAACGACACTTTTAACTGTCAAAACTTTATGGAAGCTTTACGAAAGTTTGCGACAACATTTCACAGTTACACCTGAACAAGTGTTCAGATTGCCCTTTTGATCAGAGGCGGATGTCGTTTGCTGTTTCAAGTGAAGACTGCGCGATTGGTCTCACTTCACCGGCGAACTGAATGACTAAAAAGATGGGTGTTTGCAAAAATACCTACTGTTTAACAACGTCTAGGCTCAAGTCTCGTGAATATAAAAACTCATGTAGACTGTATGTCTATATGACCTCTCCAGACCGTGAGAAAAAGAAATCAGCTGCAACATCGGCTTTTATGAGGAGAAATTTCTACCAACAACGACAAACCATAATTAGACCGGAAGTTTATGATATATGTGTTTAAAGCGTTGGGCTTACACAAGGTTGATAACCTGTACCACTTAAACAAACGTCGGTTTTGTTTTACTACTGAGGTTAAATGGCGGCCGATTTCAAAATTATTGTTTATGATATACTTCAAATCTCTCTTACTCCTAGTCATACACTTTCTCCTACTTAAAGGTCTACTTAAGAAAAACCTAGCTCAAATTAATGGTGATTTCGACTATGGTTTTGATGTAATCGAACATGTGGACAGAGTGTCTTTGATGTCGTCGAACTGAGCAGGCATCCCACATATCCAAAACACTTAACATGGTTGATAATGATACTTTCTAAGATAAAAATGTGCCATTCCCGCACCCTTTCTTCTATTGAGACGAGTTCTATATAGCACTTTCAACTACCGAGTTCTTTTTTCCTATTTACTGAGACGTTTTTCGCCTTTTACTCTTCTCTATGTTTTTCCTTCATTTAATTTGTTGTCTTTTCTTAAATGTAAACATAAATAAAAAGTGAAAAACAAAAACCGGCCGTAGTGTACTCATTGCCTTCGATGAAATTAAACGGACATACTTTCTTATGTTCTTATGTGGCATACTGTGTGATTATCCTGTTTAGTGTTGTTGGTTCTGCCTTATTCTGCATTTACAAACGAAATCGTTCCCAGAGAACACAACTATGCTAAAAACGTCCCGGTTAATTAAAAATTGTTAAAACTGTGTATTTTTAAAAAAAGAGTATGAGGTTAGTTAACAGTTCGTAGGGTACGAGTCTGAAAAAACACAAACTGGCGATCGTCCAAATGCTCAATTAGACTCACACGTATCTTTTGAGCCTAGATCAGTACACTTCATTGCAAAGTGATTCTAAAAAAAGAGAAAGGTGATCGCAGAATAATTTTAATTAATTGACGACTTATGCAAATCTGCAATTCATGACTGTTGCACTTGTTTTTGCCTATTGTTTCTAGTGAACGACGAAATAAGTCCAGCGAAAAGCAAACTGAAAGCCAGCGTCTTGAAGTACTTGCAAATTTCCCACAGAATTCTTCACTAGATTTCTTTTTGCAAAGATTTGCACGGGAATCTCGTTATTTCCATATTAATCTTTATTAAGAACAAAGAAACCAATGTTTATTAATGTTCTCTAATCGCGCATCTTGAGGCTTTATCAATGTACTGCACCTGTGTCTTTAGAGGGTTCATTTATCCCGTGAATCAGAAATGACTTTAGGCTGCTAACCTATGACCTAGTTCGTGTGTACCGATGAAGGCGGAGGTGAAATCAAGACCTTCAGCTAATGTGCAAGTGTTCCACGGATCACACATTCCGTCTAGACGGGCGATTCCGGAAATGGATCTTGAACCGGCTCCGCGATGAATATCATATCTGAAGTATATTTTAAGTCAAAAGAAATGTGCACAAAATGTAGTATTCGCAAATAATAGGTAGCAAGCACACCCTGTTAACATAATGGCGTGATCCCAATCTCGAATACCAAGATTCCGCTGGTACCGACAAAATCGGTCGAGATACATTTGAGCATTTCCATGATTGTGAGCACTTCCAGCAATCGAATTCTAGGAACAGGCGTATTTTCGTTCATAGTGGATAGGGCCGATAGACCAAATCTAAAACAAGCAAACAAGCACCCACGGGCTGACTCGTGAGCACTTCATAACGTATCACACGAAACGTTAATGGTGGTGATGCCGACGGTTGGTAGTACATGATTTGTATATTGTTCAGCAATGTCAGCATGTAGTCCTGAAGTTTTGTGTGCGCCTGCCCTCCATATTTGCTGCTGAAATGTCGCCACAGCGTCTCATCAACGAAAACAGCGAGTTCAACCTGTTCAGAATCAATCATTTGTAAATGTTGAACGGCTGTGAAAAGTGTTTTGTGAATTATGTTAGAAGCCGCTCGACATACCACTAGATCGCTCATTTGTTGCAATCGCTGTCCAGTGACAAAAACGTCTTCGAAAATGGCGGAGTCGTCACCGAGAAGCTGATCTTCGGTGACGACATTGTCAAGGCCACAGAAATCATCAACTGATAAAGACGCTTCTCTCTTGAAAAGCACATGAATTCCGTTTTCTAAAGTGGAAGTGGCTCATTAATGGTCTTTTGAATACTGAATTCAGTTGAAATCAATGGTAATTCAAACCAGTTTCAGCCGCTCTTTTAGATCTGTGAGCGTGTCGGTCCGGAAAGGGATGAATGATGTGTATACCACTGGGATGAATTATTGTTCCTTTCTAAATAATGGAGGTTAAGAGTAGAAGAAATGATCAACATTTAACTATTAGTTTACAGACACACCCAGGAACAATTTTAAAGAGACTTCAAACTGTGTCGTTGAAAAATAAAGTGCAAAAACTTTCGAGACTGTCAAATTTCTAAAGTGGTCTGAAGCACTCATACTTAAACACTGGAAACGCCATTTCGGACAGCCTTTCTTAATTTTAGGCAAAAGCGAGAACGTTTTGAAATCAAACCACGCTTGAGAGGAGCACCATGACTGTTGAGGTCTTTCGTAGAAATGTGCGGAATTGTAATATTCACTCACTACGCGGCCATCACAATTGCTTAAGGCTCCATGTATATCGTTTATTATGAAACGATAATGGCAATTGGCTGGCTTCGAATTCAATATTAAGCGCCCTGAAATGTACTGGAATGCGTAGTGCCTGCAATTCCAAGAGTAATAGATGTTTTCCCACCTCCTTTCTTTTCATCACGGTAGATAACCGTGTAATCCTGCCCTATCAATTCATTTAAAGTTGGCACAAGATTTACGTTGTAGATGGTGGAGTCATTCACCTTAATTTTGTGAAATTTCCAACTAGGCCCAAAAACAAGTCAACATTCCTCTTAAGGACAAAGCTGGAAGTCACCTGCAGATTCAAACTGGCTAGCGTGCCATCAGAGTTATATGTGAACCTTGGGATGACCTCGAAGTGGGCGGGTACTAAATTACGGATCATTCGCAATATTTGGAAGATAACTTTCTCCTTTTCAATGGTCGTAGATTATTTGGTAAGACGTTCAAGCTCGTATTTCTGGTAGTTGATAGAATATTGTCAAACTAGATGTTGAAAGTGATTCATCGGATAAAAGCTTCTGCAGAATCGCCCCCAATATTTCTGCATAGGTAGGATAGCGTGGTTTAAAAAAATCTATATATGTATATATATATGCATGTATGTATACAATTTGTATATATATATATATATACATATATATGGCACTGACACCATTTTTGTTAGGTATAGAAAGAGACCGCCAATATCTAGGCATGTGTTTGATGAATACGTCATACCTTTTTCATGCTTCGTTACTCCAAAAGTGTATCGCAGCTCGTCTGGTGTAAAGAATTCGGTAATTCCTAGCAGTCCCTGAATTTCTTTCAAAGTAAAAGTGCTTAAAAATTTGTTTTAACAATGCTCACACCAGCATATATAGTCAAAGTTATACCGTATGGTATTATATAACTCATTATTTTGAAACGTTTTCGCTAACTCTCTATTTTCTTAGACAACGTTCTCGAGATTGTTGTTGTACATTATTTATTGACAACAGCTGACGTTTCTGCCGATTTCGCCTTCTTCCGAGCCTGGAAGGCTCCAGTTAACCGCAACATAATCCGACAAACATTCCCATAACTTTAACAGAAAAACCACGATACCTAAGTTTCAGTTACGTTTTTCTTAATTTAGTTACTTCTATGCATTTCCGTTCGTATGACAGGTTTATAAACTGCTGTGCTATCCAATAGGCGTCATCGACTTCCTCCACTATTAAAGGCCTCGAGGTAGTTGTTCTACTGGAACTTCACTACTGCGTCGAACACGATATAACTCCTGGGTGATGAACTATACATATGAACGTGTTCGGCACTATGCTGTTTTTAATGGCGAATCTCAGCTCTTCGCTACTGAAGGTCGCCAGCGTCTGGTTGCCGTTTTTTTTCTATCGCTGCACTGCCAATGTATTCATCGTTCGCCATTGGTTTCGTTGCTTCATCGCGAGAATTTCATCTTAAACCACTAATGAACAACACACATACACGCACACACACACACACACACACACACACACACATTGGTTTCGTTGCTTCATCGCGGAAATACACACAAACACAAACACGCACACACACACGAACATAGACACCCACGCACACACACACACGCCGGCACGCATGCACGCATGCATACACATACATTGGTTTCGTTGTTTCATGGCGAAAATACATACATACATACATACATACATACACACACAGACACATACACACACACACACATATATATTTCGTTATCTTTACAGTCCGCTGGGAACAACAGTGACGATCTGACGCGAAGTTCTGTTGGAATTCCAAACCTAAGAATCGATATGCACATCCAAAAGCACATTTCGAACTTTTGTTATTTCAAGAACGACTTCTGTAACCTTGCTTTGCATACTCGTCCACCGCTGATCCGTCTTATGAGACGAATTTATCGTTGCTTTTACAATTTTGAGGAATACTCCGGCGAGTAGTTTCGAATGATATTTTGTCGTTCTTTGAGCTTAAAAATCTCAATTTACTGCTTTATATCTGTGAAAATAAGTAAAAAAGGGAAAAAATGCCCTAAAACTATTCTTAATAAAGAATAAGCGCACTTCTACAAACACCTGAGGACGTTTCAGCAATCAAACTAGATCGTTCTCTAACTGCATGTAGAGCTCATGCTCGCACATAGCTTGAGACGGTGGTATGTTAAATGTTAATTTTTTCACTGACTACCTAGTCATTTATCTGAGTTTACGTTCACGACCTGGAGTGCTAAATCGGAGACAGCAATTATCAATTGGTCCATAAAGCGATCATCCACTATTGTGACGAAAAGTCTTTCGTAGAATTCAACACAAGAAATTCAACGTATCGTATGAAACGCATTTTACAAACCAACTGGGTTGAACACAATGTTCACGGTGTGAATGACATAAAACAATCAGAATAACGAAAAGTGAAACACTGCTGGAGAAATACCATTTAACTGTGAGACGATATCTATCAACAAGGGGTACTGCGTCGTATTCCCCAAAGTGCACTGTGATTTCTGGACCGTAGAGTCTTGAAGGTCATGCAGGGAAACAAAAACGTTCGTGCTTATATAGTGATTCGAACTCACGCACTCTAATTGATGGAAGGCAAACGTACAACAGTGGACTCCGAAAGAACAATCGCCAGTTGATCAATGCGTTCTGTGCGCGATTTCCGCCGGAAAAAATAAATGATGGACAGCGCTAACTGGTTTTTTTCTCGGTTAAAAAAGACTGCTATTCAAAGTGGACCGCTTTATCTCGTCCAACATGCTCCTCCTGTCACTGCATTATTTCCAAATAAAATCGCTAATTCTTTGCCTGTTTCTCGTGCGGGCCATATTTGAAGGTGCGGTCACACTTTAGCTGTTCTAAGTGTTCTCTAGACATTCAGCGGCATACTAGAAGAAGTGTGAAGGGAACAAATGAAAAGGTTACATCACAACTATAGTAATGTTCATAACATCGCGAATGTTAAATAACCGAATACTTAGAATAGAATGCTGTATATGAGTAACCAACTGAAGGTTTTTTCGCACATTTTCACTCCTCGCTTTCAGAGCTTGCAATCTAGTTCCCTAAAAAGCTTTACTGTGGTAAACTTTCCGGCTTTTAAGTGAATGAATTGTTACTGCAGCTCACCGCGATAGCGCGACATTCACGAACTACCTAAACCGACAGCAGCGCCCTTGACTGCAACGATGCGAAAAAGAGCGCATTGATCGTGCTACCCCGTCTTAATGAAACTACGACAAAACTCAAGGTTGAGCTCTTTACTGTTAAAAATGGGTGGACAAGTACACTGGCTGAGTGCCGCGGCTTCCCGATTTCTGTTCGGCATGCCCTCTTGTTTCGCCGCTGTCATACCGTGTTGAAGGCACCGCGGCTATTATAAAACGGAAACCCTTACGTGTCATGCTATAGGTCATGCTTTCCATCAAGGCACTCTGCTATAGGAAGTGCAAGAATGCGGAGCAGAAGTTCAAAATCGGAAGCAGGATAGTGGATGCGGTGAACGTTTTTCTTGAAAACAAGGAATGACTAGGTTTAAAAAAACGTTCACCAATTCGCAGCAGGTACGTAAAATTATGTTAAAATGTAGATAAGTAATTTTACGCACTAACCTGTACGAGCCAGACGCTGATGATCAGCGACGGCTGCATTGAGATATAAGTATGAATCGGTCTCTAATTGTGGTAATGAGATTTGATAGTTCTAAAGTTGGCTTGGGCCAAGAGTGAGGGAAGATTGGAGGAAAATCACCCTTAAAAGGAGAGGGTTGGACTGTGCGCTGGGTATATGAAAAGTGGGCGGGAGTGGCCGGAAACACCCACGAATGTACGGTAGAACGGGTAGTCTAGATTCGTATGCACCGGGGACAATGAACAGCATTTTTACGTCAAGCAAATTGGTGGTTCATTGAAAAATATGTCATTGAAAAATTTAAAGAAAGCTGGAAAGAGAATATTTGTAAAAACAATTCGCGTAGATGGCTAGGCGGTTGATTGCAGTGTACAAAATTCAGCCGATGATATTTTCAGAGAGGTTCTACTAGGAATTAAGTGGTGGGCTAACAATTCGATAATATGCTGAGATTGCACTGCTTATTTGAAGAGGAAACAACGAAACCAACCTAATTGCCCAGTGTACTAATGTGAAAACTATCCTTCTCCGAAAAACGAAAAATCACAGTTAATCATCACACTACGAATAGAACACAGAAAACCCAGAATTGAGAGCTAGAGTAGGCTTTAACGGAAAATCAAAACTAAGCTGATCGAGAACTTGTTTACTGAGTGTCCACCACGTGAGTCCAGTAATGCATGAAGAGAAGCCAGTTTCACACAGCAGTCGCGGTCTATAGATAGAGTGATGGCTGCTGTCCCAAGCGAACTTTTATGAAAAAGTGCTGACCTTCAATACGTAACAAAACATTTGTACCTAACTCAATTTTATGAAGATTCAAACCTGTGTTGTGATTTCGCTTAACTGATTAGCAGAATATAAAGAAGGACTGGGTCAGTGCCATCTTGTATTGTTCGACTTCCCGTTGTGCTGTGTGAACTTCTTTAGTCCATTTTCGGTTACATGTGCTTTTCAACCGACTTTGCTGTAATCGTATTCGCGCGCTTTTGCCATGGGTATATCAACTCGCGTGCAGTCCCCATTTCCCTTAACGAAGCATTTCGCGTGGGATAAGTGACCGTTTATACAAACTACCGTCCTAAACACAACTAAATTTGTCATTTACTACTCATAAGAGTTTCGAGTTTATGTCTTTTTGCCATTTTAACTGTTATGAATTTCATGCAAGCGCGACGGTAATGGCATGAAACGTTTATATAGCGTTGAATTTGAAACTGTTTTGTTGAAATCTTTTCGCGAATTGCATGACATCTCTGGAAATTTTTGGTCGGTGGCCATGTATTTCACCCCTCTTTACAACAAGTAAGCCGCTTTATATTCAACATCCAATTTTGTCTTTCTTTCCCCACCTTTTTCTCACTCTCCTTCCCTTCCTTTTCTCTCTCTTTCTTTTTCTATATTTCCTTCCTTCTCTCTCGCTTTCTCTTCCTCTCCTTCCTTTCCTCAATCGTTTCCTCTCCTTCTTTCTTTTCTCCTCTTGTGCCTTTTTTCTTCGCTTTCTATCTTTCTCCCTGTGCCGGTCTTTCAGTTGTTTGGTTTTAAAGCGCTCATTTATCATTGAATTGCTAAGAGCCAGTCATTAACGTCATCATATTCTACGTTTGAAATTATCTTCGGAAATCCATACGTGCTAAGCTACCTCAAAAATTATGGAACACTTGAATAGAATTTTCAGTATAACCAATCATAGTTCTTAGATAAGCCGAGAATGTTGATTCCACTGGCGGAGTATTGTTACAAAAGTTCTTGCTGAATAGCGATTTCACTTAGCACTACTTTTAAGAAGTTCTCTCATTGTTCAATGTCATGTACGTAATCAGTTTTGTAAAAAAAAAAGCACTAATGCAACAACTTTTCGAGGACGTTAATTTCACCATTTGTTTGTTATGCGGTGCGAGAGTTCATCGAATATATCCATGAAAAATCCATTTATTCAACCATTCGAGCAGATTGTTCTTTTTCCTGGAAAATGATGCCTGATGATGCACCTCGTCCTCTTCCACTTCCTTTGACCAGCTACATGTTTTAACCAGTTCAGAACTGTAATGATTACTGAAGCTGTGAATATTTCATTTACTATAGTACACATTTTAAGAACTGAGCCGTGCATACCTTTCCAGTGAAGTTTTCTTCTTCAACGTGCTGCTTTATTGTGGTATATTTGGCTCAATGGCTCTTCCTTGACACTTAATCAATGAAGCATTATTAATTTTATCGGATTTTCTCTGAGAGAGCGAGAAAACCGAAATGATGCGTAGCCGTCAAAACATCTAAAGGCAAGACGCAATGCACACGCGGAAAACTACTGTGTATGGTTCTGTTGAGCTCGTCACGAGATTCTCTTTATAAGCTGATCTATCATAATAATGGAGGAACATATATTTGCTTAAGCTGAAACGCACTATGCACTATTCTTCTATAAAGGTACCAACGTGATTTTCTCAACTAATTTTAGCTGCCGGCTGACATGTTTATACCAACAATGGCACATGTTTTAGTGATGATGGTTGGTGTTCAGCTTCTAATTCAGGACAAGTGTTCGCGTTCGTATGCCGTGTAGAAATTTAGATTACAGCCTCTCCATCCATTCAATTGCGATTTCACTGAAAAATCAGGTGCTTAGAAATAATTGACGATTTCACTTGCTAATTTCAGCGGCCAATTTCAAACTCATTCAAGCATCATGTCGTCGCAGTTTGTTCCATAGACATGTGAGAAAACCGCTTTGTTGCTCCACTAAAATGTTGTACTTTTATCCTTAAGACCACAACGGGTTAGGGATGGCTTTAGAGGTTTGTGTGTCTTTACGTTTACAAGTCACTAATGATCATTACTGATCTGTATTTCGTCCAAGAAGAAACGATAACTTTTGATTAGAATATCAGCTGTCTCTACTCAACTCATTATGGAGGTTCAAAAATTTCGCTTGTACCAATACAGTTAGTGCGCAATTAAGTGGAACGTTTCGATTTTTTTCACATGAGGCTTCATACTGCTTCCGAACCAGCTTACCATATTCACGAATCGTTAAGAATAGACGTGTATTTGTTTGGTTCCACGCATTCGCGTTGTGACCTTATTCGATTTTGCAGATCTTGCAGAGAAACTGGACACCCATAGGTGGCGGTGTGCTCACGTGCGATGACACGCACGGGAAATAGCCACGTGCTCGCTCACTACCTCATTTTTACGGGTTCATTTTGTGCCAAACCAATTCGCTTTACTTAGTGAAGGCACCGTAGCCGCAACCACCGTTACCGCAAGTACTTAGTCTTCTAAAAAAAAATCTTTTTGAACTCATGCTGTTGTTTCGATACCCTGAAGTGTTTTGATGATGCTGAATTAAGCATTACACATCATGATTGTTTGTCAACGTAGTCATCAGAGCGTCTTCTAGAGTCCATCTTTTGACTCGGAGAAATTCTTTCGACACAAATATGGGCGAAAGCCATGAGATTCAAACAAAACACAAGAATATTTCAATCCAAATTTACACTAGAATAGCTTTTAAGTGGGATTTCCTGAAAGAAAGAAAGAACAACCATATATAGATAACAAGTTATACATACATATATAAGTCATAAATTAAAGCAAATGTAATATATCTTTGAAAGAGTTTTCGCGGCAGCACAACGAAAAGAACAGTTTGAGATGATATATATGAATCCTGAATCACACACTGTTTCCTAGAGAGAACAAAAACAATCGAGGTTTCCACGAGATAACAAGAAAAATTTCGCTTTGAATGGCAGTGAACCTAGGAAAATGTGATAATACAAAATCAAATAGCATCTATTAGTCACTCTGATTTTAACGCTGAAAATATGAAAACAAACCACGAAAATAGGAATAAATTTTTTCACAATGATATTTTATTCCGTTTATCCCTAGGCAACAGCTGACAACTAGAATAGTATTGCGGCTATATGGCAGTCCGTATACTACAATAACTGCCGAGTAGGAGCTGAACAGAATATAAACGCAGAACTTCCCGCCTGAAAAACAATTGTTTCCTTTAAAAAGGACAGTTAAATTATTCCCAATAAATAGTTTGAATGAACATACATGATACACATGAACATGCTATCTCACAAATATGTGGTTGCCTCACTTTCATAATATGATACGTCTTGTGTTTTGCTCATATCTCAGCATAATTGTGGATGTATTTCACATGGCGTCTTGCTTTTGGAAAAGAAATAGAAAGGATAAAGCTTTCGGTGTTGATCGATCCCTTAGGAATGCGCCATGCATTCGACTTCATTAAGCATCGTTTTGCAGCTGACTGAATGCACATCTGGCCTTTACAATAACTCGCGGTGGCCTACCGATGTATCGAGCCAGTGCTGCTATCCTCCCAGACTAGTCTGGTGCCAATTTACCGAGCCCTGAACGATCGAGGGCTTGGTGGACCATGGATCGATTCCACCTGTGTGTTGCAGGGCGCCTCCGACCACTGCGTCACACACGCCCCTCAATGGAAAAATATTAAGCAGCAAATGAAACTTAGACATTATCACGACGTCTTATATTTGTAACTACCGAGCGTGGTGAAATTATTCATGGCGAAACTCAATTTTTGTCAGTGTCCTCGTGAGATTATGCCTATCCTTTCCCATAGGCGTTAGTTACTGAACTTAATACAGTCAGTTACATCTCCTTAATAAAAGGAGCACCAACTGCCTCAATAGTTGGAGTCTTTGTGATACTCAGTCGCCGGTACAAAACACAAGTAATTACCTAAGGACAAGTATCATTCTATTTGTGCTGCAGACATATCTTAGTTTTTTTTCATCAACAACATGCTTTCGCCGCTAGAACTGGCGAGAAAGATAAACTCCTCTGAATTTTTGAAGTTTATTTTGCAAAGACTTTTTTTTCTGATCTTTTCTACAAACCCTGTTTTAGAGAAAGGTGTTGTTTAAATACAAGAAGCATAAGTGAGACCGGGAGAAAGTAGACAACCGTAATAAAAATGCTTCGGCATAAATGTAAACAGTGGCAAATGTGTACGAACATTTCTATGCTTTTCACAGTAAGCGACTGCAAGAGGCTGTTGTTTAGGTAGCAAACTACGTTGTAAATCCCTATCATCCTGCCGGGCCATCCTATCCAACTGAGTAAAACAGCTTTCCTACGAAGTCCAGCTAAGAGTAAACTTGCACTACAGCAAGGTTTATGGAGCCATCTTATCGCAAGGAACAGTAAAAAAAAAAAGGTGCCTCGTATAAACATTGTAACATTTCTCCTTTCTCGGGAAAAGTCAAAGCCTAATGATTAGCTTTGACTCACAAAAGTAACGAATGGGTACTGTAGTGAGACCTCTCACTTTGATTTACTGATAATCAGATGGAATACAGATGAAAGAAGTTACTCAAATCTTTTAGTTATTACCTCTACAATAGCCAAATATTTTTTCTTCAAATCATTTCAAAAATGCTGTGGTCTTACCTTAGCCAAGATATATAATCAAGAATTAGTGAAGATATATGATATCCATGACGAAAGCAACCGTGGAGCCTACAACTCATCATCCTCAGACTCCTTCCTTGTGCAATAGCAGGCTAGCCCAACAAGGATTGTGAAGAAGAATAATGAACAGAAGGCTAGCATAGCTGTTGCAAACTGAAAAAAAACAAGCACTAAAATTGTTCACCATATTACCGTTTTTGAAACGAGAAGTTCCAATATTTATTCCGTTGAAAATAAAGAAAAACTAATTTATTTGAAAGAATAATGCACAGGTGAAAAGGAACGAAAAGCTATTCCTCTAGAACGGAAGGGAATAATGCAGATTGGAAACGATGTCGAGGTATGGTTTTTTCGCAACATGCCGTTTAACCTGTGGCAGTGAGTGAATTTCGCTTGTTTTTTCGGATTTGGAAAACCCAAACAGTTCCCAAAATACGCATTCAAGAGGCCTCCGAGGATTAATGGGAAGCGACTTCTTTGTGTTCAGGTTACTTTCGTTCAAACCTTGCAGAACATCGCGTCATAGAAATATGTCGAGATTTCAATCATGAAAGAAGTTTTTCACATATACCTGCCAATTTCCGATATCTCTATCAAGTTGCGCTATTCGCTGCAGGTTACCCACATCTACGGCATCCAATGAACGAGCGTACCAATTCCAGAATACATGGCCCTGCCACCGATAACCAACCTATGGAAGCCAACTTGAGATAGAATTGATGCACTTCCGTTGATTAGGAAAAAAGACTGCAACGCAATTGGTATCGATAGTCAAATACTTACTTCCATAGTAGGACTATCCGTTATTGATAAATAATTCAGTTCTTGGGCATTGGTCGAAGTCCAGTTAAAGGAAAATCCTGATCTTTCAGGAGTTGGGTACCTGTAAGAAAACCATAATCATGATCACTACCACTTTATGAAAAGCAACTTTTATTGTTTAGATCTGAGATATTACACCCATTGTGCAATCACCGTCTGGGCAACTAATAGGTTTATTGGTGACATGTCACAGGACTTGTCCTAGGGCTAATTCTCCATTACTATGAAGGAACGTTACTCTTACTAACATATTTTATTAAAAGTTTAGCAAAAAGCTTCTTAGGAAATTCCGTCAAATATACGTTATTTTGAAGATTTTGTTACGTAATTACAGTCAGTATCCCGCCATAACGAACTCGACAAGCTGGGTATGTTAGCGCATGAAGGTCGCAACGCTATCTGTAATTCTTAGGATAACAACGGAATCGTTGAACATGGTTGGTGAGGAATTGTCTAAAAAATAACCTTGATGAAATGATTTTCTTAGATGTGGGAAAGTCGAAAAGCCTTCGTGACAGTTATCTGCGCTATGAGCGCACTGATTCACAAACATTCAGCGAAATCCACTTACACTACCTAACCGATCTTTTTCATTACTACAAATTTTTACCTACCCTTTTTTTAAAATTCATCTACTGTCGATTTTCTTTATTACACATGTAAAACGCGTCATAACAATTAGTCGAACTTATGGAAAACTTAATGGGACAAATATCTGCGAATGGTTTAGCGAGGTGCATCTATATAATAAAAACACTAATATAGCTGAAAATAAACCACGGTGAAAACTAGTCAATGAGAAACTGGAGAGACTTGTTCATTAAAAATGAGAGACGGGGAAGAAATGAGGTACAAGGTAAGTGTAAGGCTCTGAAACTACACACAGTTGCCTTTTTCACGATTAGTTTGCAATATTCTCAAAAGAATGAAAAGGCGTTTCGAAAGCACGTCGTGTTAAATTTGAGTCTGATCACCTACTGTAATTAAAAATCGTTTTAAGAAAAAACCAGTCTGGGCTTTGAGAGCTACGCAAGTATGTCGACTTTTAAAAATTTACCAACCGTTGAAGTTTTAGTCACTGTGGCAACTAAAACGATGTTTATTTAAGCTAAATTTTCTGAACACTCTGAAAAATTCAAGCGGTCGCTGACGCACCCTTTGCAAATGTGGAAGTCGAACGAAATATCCAAAAGAATGTGCTTTAAACTACAAGACGTAAATATGTTTTCGTTGAAGGTCATAAAATATGATTCTACGTAAAATATGCTTTCACGACCGAATAAATAGCCCTGATTAAAATCCTCTATTTAATACAGTAGAAAAAAGTGATAGAGATTTAGACAGTCAATGTAAAAAAGCAGAAAAAATTTTCCCAGAAAAACACACATTTTCCGATTAATGCTTCGAACATTTTCTGTGATTAGAGTCCTATCTGGAATATGCTCTGTGTGAAAATGTGTGGAGAACTCATGAATAGAATAAGCTGAAGCATTACGGTAACTCTTATAGTGTCTGTTTGTCAGAAGTGATCTTTTCCGTACATGTTACTTCTTCAAATTAATTCCAGTCAAATTTTGCGCAAGATAAGCGAGCGAACCCATGTCGTGCAAAGTTGACAATCAGCTCAGCAAAGATCTCCACGACTCTCTGGTCAAGTTGCCAATTTCTGTCCTTTCTTCGACTAAGAAAACGTGGTGTGATGTTGAATAAGTGCAACCTGTCAGCGCCATGAAATGCCCCTAAATATATTTCTTCTTAAAACTAAACACTTTGCAAAGTACATTATGCTATAAGTCATAAGACAGTAGGATAACAACCATGATCTTGCAAGTTTCCGAGAATATAAGCTGTAATTCAGACCACGAAATATGTTTGTCACCAAGCAGCTACCAAACCGACCGGCTCCTCGTGCAATAAAATTATTTCACCTAATAACAGAAATAAATATAAATCCAATGTATCTTTTCTTCTTTTCTATAGGGCACGTGTGGCGCAGTGGTCGGTGGCGGCTGCAACACACACGCAGAACCCATCCCTGAGCCCATGGCCCACCAAGCCCTCCATCCCTCCGGGGTCGGTAAATTGGTACCCGACTTGTCTGGAAGGATACCAGCACTGGCTTGATACATCGCTAGGCCACCGGCCACCGTGAGTCATTATAAAGGCCGGATATGCATTCAATCACCCCCTAACAACGTTTCATGAAGTCTAATGATAGGCGCTTCCCTCAGGCTTTGGTCACCGCCGAGAGCTTTATCCTTTCTATCTTTTCATTTGTAGTCGAGAAATCAACCTAATCAACCTTCGTAAAACATAATGGGTATTAGCACATTTTCAAAGAAATCGTGACTTATCAGTAGAAGTTTCGCACTTATCCATCCAAAAGCATTGCAAGACGTTTATACAAATGTTTTACCTAGACGGAAAGATTTTATGGTGTCTTCATAAAAGACTGCAAAATCAGCTTTTGATTTGATTTGAAACGTGCTGTGGCTCTTCTACACCACAGCAGATCAAGTAAAAAACGCATTTTGCATAATCTTAGAACAAACCCACGATCGTAACCATAGAAATTTTCGCTAATGTGATCGAAGGAGTACAAGAACACCGGAGCCCTTTGCTTCACGTAGTAAGTCGCTAATCGAGAAACAGGCGCATCGTACCAAAAGTGAGAGTACATCTAAAATCTCTAGGTTAAGAGGGAGTGATCAATCGAGGAGTTCTGGCAAATGTTGGTTACGAACGAATTCTACGCTCACTTTGAGCACTGAGTCAAACAAGATATTCTCAGACATTGATGGATCTACTTTAGTCCACACATATTGCGCCTTACAACCCTCTGCAATTAGACGATGATTTTGAAATTGCTTGTAGCCCATTGTGAGGTTATCTGCAAGTTTTTCGGCCAATGGAGTGTTCAGTGCACTAAAGTTGACGTTCTTCTCGTTGAGTATCACTAAAATGTAAACGGTTTCATAGTTGGACACACGAAATTTATCGCAAATGAAAAGAAAGAATTTCATCAGTATACCCACGAATTCGTAGTGAGCTCTCGTCTCGTGTTGTGCCAATCATCATTGGCATTTTTTTTCTGTGTTTTGCAAGATCTTCAGGTACGTCAGGAATAACCCCTCCAGCTCCGTCGACAACAGGAACAAATTCTTGATAATCGTCCCAATGCAGACGCTAGATAGACTAGTTTGATCATCTTTTTAAATGGTTAATATAAATGGTTAATGGTTTCATATTTAATGATCATCGTAAATTAATAGCATACATCCAACCTATAGTATTTTAAAAGATATCAAACCTTATAGTCCAAAATTTCTTCTCGCATCCTTTTTCGAAAACACCCCAAGAGCTCAGAGGAATTAAAAGATCTGCAGTATCAGTTATCATCGCCATATGGACAACAGTAATAATAAGTGTTTGTAGCACACCTGCATTGCATTTTTTCATTAAGAGCCCATGTGGCATTGATAGCAGTGTCTCGAACTACACCCGGCTGAAGCGCTGATCCAGACATTAGCAGAACCTTGTGAAAAAGGCCTGCAACATAAATAATTTCCGTGTTTCTTGCAACTAATCCTCACTTTTATGAAATTACGCCAAGGTGTGATGAAATTAAAGTGAAGCTTTTCGACGAATTTACGTTTCAATGAATACGCACCTTCTGCTCTCGGTGATAATGCCAAAATTGAGGCGCACGCCGCTCCGCTACCTGACCCCATGAGAAGAATGTTTCCAGGATCTCCTCCAAAAACTTCTGCATTGGCCTGGAAATACGAATTTATTAACAATAGTTGTTAAAGCAAGTTCGTAAAATCTTTCTCACATTAACCCATTTGAGGGCCCATATTTGATCCCAGAGGCCGACATTTCCAGGCAGAATTTTGTCACCCGTTGACAGAAACCCTGAAAATCGAGTTGAGAAAGATCTTGCTCATATGCCAGTATTCCTGTCCACGAATTTTTGGCGAAATGCTAGATGTCGCAAAAGTTCTGCGTGTCGAAAATAAGGCGATGCGCTGCCTACCTCATTAATTTCTTGTATCAATGAACACACATCTGCAGTTATGGCCAATTTCAGGCTTTGGTTTCTAAGACAAACAGGACTTTGATTTGCCATAACATCACCAGTCTATTCTCGAGCGTCCCTATTTGTCGGTCTCAAGTCCAGCACTTACGGCATTTAAATTGGTTTAATACAGATACCCTAGAGGACAAAAATTCAGTATAGACATGACGGCTAAACAGATCAAAGGAGCAATTACATTTTGGTTGCTATAAAAGGACTACATTTCAGTTCTTCTAAAACTGAGATAACTTGAGAATTGTCAAGTTGCCAAATGCACAAAGAAGTTCCTTCCTCCGAGTTTCACAAGCTGTTAAGAAAGAATGATCTATAGAAGACCAATTCAAGCGAAAATAATTTAAAAAAAACTACTTTAAACAGGCCACTACTCAATATTTGCCATATAACGTGAAACGGGATCACTTAAAAGTTATAAATGTGGAAAAAACCGTAATTCGATTACGAAGATTTTCTTCGCTAATCATTGTAAGAACACTAGATGCCTTACAGAATGTCTTCCACTAGCAATTAGTAGCTGTTTTTACAACGTAATCCACTTTTCTGAACACAACTGCTCAGCGCCCAACACGAAAATGTTGGAACATCCGGCGAATTTTATAGCTCGAAATGTCATGGATCAGTGAAAGTGCTAACATTAGAGCTCTACAAGTGGTTACCACTGCTAGAGTTTTCAGTGTTAATTGAAGGTAATCATCTCGACAACGCCCCAGTAATGCAAGTCTTCTGCACGATAACTGTATAATTCGTATCAGAGAGACAAATTTCATTTAGAGTTTGAAGTTTTTGCATGCCTGAAGTACAATTCCAATTTAAATTCCTCTGATTACCGCTCCAACGGCGTCGTCTAGTGGACACTTCCCAGAATTCTACCTAGCATGCACTATCCTTCCAACAATTTTCATTCACAGCTTTCATAGATCTAAGCGAAAGATTTTGACGAAATAAAGCACTTTAAATAGTTTATACAGCAAACAAAAGTCGCAATGAGGTTGATACACATGCAAAATCCTTTTCAAGCAAGCCTGTAATATGGATGGACATCAATCATTATTTGAGTTTTGTACGCCTTTTAATCTACTTACAAATACAATTACAGCATGCTGACATATCATTGAAAATCCCAACACTGATTTTTTGGAATATGTCAGATGTCAAAACAGTGCCAACGACGATTAGAACAAAGGATAGGAATCTATCAATTTCAATTAACACACCCACCAAGTGGTCCAAGACGGTAGTTGAATGTAACAAAGATAATTTTTCTCGAAACAAAATTATCGAGGATAGCCTGTTGTGGATAGTCGCTACCTCCTCCAGACTGGAAATCTCCTCCATGTATGAACACAACGACAGGGTAGGTATCGTTAGTGTACTGGTACTGAAATGAAAGAGGAAAATAAATTTAAATTCGTTACTTAAAATTGTCATTGGTTCCAGTTTATATGAGCAGTTAGTTCTTCAAGTATTCCACTTACTCCATCGTTTAAGTTGTTAATGTAAGCGTAAAGAAAACTTCACCTTCACTTCAACTTCATGACATATTTGAAAAGATGAAGACATGACGAAACAACAACAACTTTAAATTTTTTTTCATCCGAACAGGCATGATCAAAAACAACTGCCTTTCTGTCTTTCCTCTCTTGAACACGATATCAGGGAATGCCGTAAATATGGAAATGGTCTGGCTGTAGAGAAAGCGTTTAAGGAAAAATAACTCACAGGGGTTGGCGAGAACACATTCAAATATAGACAGTCTTCGGAAAAATGAGCAGCATGTCGTTCTGGATCAGTAGCTAGAGAATCCATTCTTTGCACACATAATGCACTGAACTGGGTAGCATTCATAACACCTCTCCATTTTGCTGGCTCTTTCGGCATCTGCAAGTGATCCAAAACTTCTACTTCTTATTCCTTTAGAAGAGAGTCACAGTGAATTTGCTTAAACCTGAGACAAAAACTTCGCTCCGAATATACTCAAAACTTAGTGCAAAAAAAATTGGTCAATTTATTTATAAACGTTACATATAGTTGTAGTACCTGCGCAATTACTTCCTGAACCCTGTTTGTTGAGTCTGATATACATATCTAAGAAGTTAGTAGTCATTCGTACTTGTCGCTCAAGCAACAACGATACATGGCTAATACATTATTAGTGAAATAGACTGCTGTATAGAAGATGACAAGTTATGCGAGAATTTCAAAGAGTCTAGGAAAATAAGGACGTTTGGTGATAGGTAGAGAGCAAAGGGAACTTCACATCTGACGTCTGATGCCTCAACGAGTTGCATCTGACCAATGTTGGCGAATGCACTGTCATAGACAACGCACTGCCGTAATACTGCGAAATTAACTTTTTTTTAAAAAATTGCTTGGCAATAGATATTTAAAAGATCCTCATTGGGAACATCTTCTATCCTAAAGAGTAAAGTGCTTTCTAGGCCTATAATAATGGCGAAGCTAAAGTAAAAATCAATTATTTGACGCATGCACACGTATTGAAGGAGTTACATCCAATGAAGTGATAATTGAAATGCTAAGGCATCTCAACGTCGCACTATGCATCACCAACTATCGCAGAAGAAATTAGCTAAACGTCTAGTATAAACCGTTGCAGTTCTTCGCTATCGATCACAAGTGTTTAAAGGGAACCCGTACTTGAAAGACAGCCGACCCCACAAAGTTTGTAGTAGTTGCTAACCCGATGGTGTTAATAACTGAACACACTGGGTGTTATCTCAGATATGAGATCAAAGGGACATGATGCTTGCCCTCTAGTGTCATGATTTGTTAGGAAATCCTACGAGATTGATAGAAAGTTGAATCGGTTGGATTCTAAACGCTGCACATAAATGCTATACAAAATCTCCTCACTGCAAAGAGAAAAACTACATATGTATTCTTTCTTTGATGAGCTTACACGAGGTTGATAATGATGTTTATTTTCGGCTAACGTTTCGACGTCTTCGTCTTCCTCAGAGCCGATGATCCGAGTCGATGGTCCTCGCTTGTTATTCGTCTCGACGTGGCAGCTTAGTCTTCGTGTCGAGTTAGGTCTTCTTCAGTGAGCCATCTCCTCGAATGAGGCATCCTCACTCAGTGATGTCCTTTTATACACGATGCTGATGGTCGATATAATGATAATGTCCGGTGATAACAACTTGCTTTTCTTCCGGACATACATCATTGCGCACATCGTGCAGAAGTCGGTGTTGTTATCAGCTAGCACAAAGCGTAGTAAGTAGTATCAAAGTAGCGAAGTAACAAAGCGAAATATCACTGCGCTTTGTATTATTAAATCACAACATAAATCAATATTAAATCACATAACACAGCTTCAATAGCGCACAAAAATATCGCCAAAGAACAACAAACAGATCACATTAGAATAGGTATTGTGCAAGAAAATTCAGGGCTAACCGTGTTAGGAGGCATGACTCTCCCTGACGGTGCGCGCTCGTTATTAGAATTGGGGCCGAGTTTCTCACCATCTGAACCCATTCCTAAGATAACCTTGCGTAGGGTCGCATGTGGTTTACATGAACTTCAAGATAGACTCTCAAAAAGCTAGAGATGAAGCGCTAAATAGGTGCGAACAACATCAAGTGGGGCCCTACCAATAGCACCATTTCCCCCGACGTTCTTTAGACAACAAGAGCCCAATAATGAAGTTGATGTTAATTTTCGGATGTTTGCGAATGAAACTCTCAAAGCCCTTAATCACTATCGTGCGAGAAGATACAGCTCAAACCTCACTGAAGTGCAAAGACGTGGTATGCGAGAGGTACGAGACCTGATAAGGTTGAAAACCATAAGACTATCCATTAGTGATAAGGGTGGAGAGTTTGCCGTAATCCGTAATCAGTCAGATGTGGAGATAACGAAAAGGCATCTTGAAGATGCTTCGCTTTATCGCCCATCATCTGTGGAGGAATTCAAAAGTAAATACCGAAAACCAAACCACGAATGGGCCAAAGTGGAAAGGGCTGCTGGCTTAAAACCATCAGTTATCTCTCAACTTAAAGTTGACTTACCAAAATGCCCCGTCTTGCACTTATAAAAACTCATAAGTTAGTATCCAGCGATGATCTTGCGTCTAACGTTCCATCACTATTTAAGGTTAGACCTATCATTAGCCGCGTAGACGGGCCAACGGAGAGGATAACATGGTTTTTAACCCTAATATTTAACCAGTTGTTGAAACACATTCCAGCCCATCTTACGAATACCCAGATGTTTCTGGATCGTCTACGTACTGCGCAGCCCAACAGCGCGTGCGTGATGGAGTCCTTCGACGTTACCGCCCTTTATACAAACGTGTCGAATGACTCCGCAATGCAAGCCATATTCGAACTCCTTACACAACACGAAGGAGAAATAAACATGTATGGCTTCAGGATAGAGCACCTGATGGCACTCTTAAAAGAATGCTTGAGCTGCTCAATCTTCAGATGGTCTGGAAAGTACTACGCTCAAATAAGAGGGTTGGCAATGGGACAACGACTGGCTCCAAGCCTTGCCATTGCTTTTATGTCTAAGGTGGAAGCACCGGTGACTGTTCTCGGGCCGCTACTCTGCTGTAGGTACGTAGACGACTGCTTTGTCCTTTGCTCAACACAAGAGGAAATGGACAAATGCT